TTCTGGGCGCCGCACTTCAGGAGGGATGTGGACAGCATTAAGAGGATCCAAAGGAGGGCCACTTGCATGGTCGGGGGCAGCAGGACAGGCCCTATAAGGAGAGACTATGAGACCTGCACCTGTTCAGCCTCCACAAGAAGCTGAAAGCGGATCTGGTGGCCATCTATAAACTTACCAAGGAGGACCAGCATGGAACAGGAGAGACCCTGTTCCCCCGAGCGCTACCAGGAGTAACTACGAATAACGGCCACAAGTTGACTGAGAGTAGGTTCAGGCTAGACATCAGGAAGCACTACTTCACAGTAAGGGTGCTTAGGATCTGGAACCAACTTCCAAGGGAAGTGGTGCTCACTCCTACTTTGGGGGTCTTCTAAAGGAGGTTAGATAAATCACCTAGCTGGGGTCATTTGATCCCAGCATTCTTTCCTGCCCATGGCAGGGAGTCGCACTTGATCATCTGCTCAGATCTCTTCCGACCCTACCAACTATGAAACTTAGATATTTCAAATAGGAATCCATACTGTTAAAAACATTCTGACCGGTTGTGGTCTTTTTTGAGTTCTTTGCAAAAGAAAAATTGCTCTTTTATTTTTCTATAGTCAAAAAAACAAGTGAAAACAAAGAGCTGGCCTTTTCTGAGTCTATCCAGGGGTATCTCGAGTCTAAACAGGTTGAGAATCACTGACCTGGAGTAACTATGTCTATGTTCTACTATGGGTAGTTTCCATGCTTACTGGTCACATGTGCCCAGGAAGGAATTTTTTCCCCTCCTGTTACAACACATCAGGGGTTTTACATGCCTCCCAGGAGCATTGGGTATTGCCTGCAGCCAAGGCTGGAGATTTTCATTTGGGTGTGCCAATGCTCCTGCTTGAACTAAAACCCAAAGGTTCCTGGCTAGAGGGCCTTGGCCTCTCCACTAAGAGTCAGACCAATCGCTGTATTTGGGGCCAGGAAGGAATATTATCCCATGGTCACACTGGTACGGACTACAGAAGTTTTTGCCTTCCTCTGTAGTGAGGGCCATAGCCCCCTGCCTTTCTCTCTCAAACCTGCTTTTGCAACCCTTACAGCAGCAGGGCACTGACCACTGTTGTTCCCTGCTTTACCTGCATCAGGTTAGAGAACTGTGTCTTGTAGATGTGTGACACGCTTGATTGTGTCGCTTTACTAATAGGTTAGATAAGGCTTTGTGTGGGATGGTTTGGTTAGGGATAATCCTGCCTCAGGTACAGGGTTGGACTAGGTGACCACCAGAGGTCCCTTCTGTGATTTCTATGATTAACAAAATTACTTTTCTGCATATTAACACACAGTATATATGAAACAAATTCTGAAACAATGGAAAACATACCAGCTGACTGAATACTGTGTCACCACCATCATCCAACAGGTCATATTCTTCAGCTACACTCGGGACAGATCTTTGTCTTTGAGCCTCTGGTTTACTACTACTGTCTTGAGCAGAATACCATTCTGTGAGGGTTGTTTGCTGTTTCTCTTCTAAAACATTTATGATTTCAGTAAAACATAAATACAGTTATATTCTATTATCTAGACATTTCATTTACAGAAGTTAAAGGTTATATTATGGGAAATTTACCATACATCTCTCTCAAATTATAAAATACGAGTGGTAAGGTTTTGTCTGTATCACCCATTTGTTAAAGCACTAGCTATACTTCAACAGAACTATAATGATAAAAAAGAGCTTCTAAGATGCATAACTGCAAGCCTTCTCACAGAGCAAAGCACAAAGCCACCGAATACAGAAGGCTCAAACCTGAAAATAAATCAGCACTCCTAACAGACTGCAACAGAAGGTAAGTTCAAGTAAATACTACAGAACTGGACCATATTTATTTCTTCTCTATAAGCAGAAACATTTTGAAATGATCAAGTAAAAAGAACAGACTAGTTTCTGGGCTGACCACCATTATGGAAGCCACTATAGCCACCATTATGGAAGCCATAACACTGATTGTTGATGTGGAACAACTCCCGCAATTCTTAGAGGAGTATATGCAATACCCAATACTCCTAAGAAACGTGGGAGTCGTTCCACATCAACAACAATCAGTGTTCTACAGCTAAGCTGAGCAACAAGAACAATGCTTACTGCACAAATGACATTTTGATACAAGCCAGTGCTTAGGATTTAGGATGTTTTGCTAATAGTTTGTACATTTTTTTTAACTGAAAGGAAAGGAACTAAAATGTCCTTTACTTGACAGGACACACATGTCTACTTAGGCTAAATACAGAGTTTTTAAAATTGGTTAATATTTATTAAAATAATATCTTCATTGGAGAAAGCAAACAAAAATAGTATAACAGTCACTGATTCTCTGCAATGTAAACAAATGCCATTATGCTACATATCTGTTCCCAGAGGTAAGCATTAATGTAACTTCTGATACTACCTTGTGAACAGCTAGAAGGCAACAAGTTTTAATGCTGCCCCATTAGAAAAAGATACCCATCAACAAAATTCACCAGAAGAAAGATAAAGTACATACATAAAACACAGCAGATCAAGTTATTTCTTTTTTTTATAAATATTACTTAAGATCATGAAACACTTAGAGCCTGAAGATGCAAGTATTTACAAATGCATTAAGAATTACTTAACAAAAATGTTTAACATATTTAACTACTCAACCACAGTTGCAATCCTACATTTCTTTTTCCCCTGACAAATAAGTGAGTCTACTAACCTCGCTGCTTTTCTTTTTTGTATTTCACCATTTCTTTATTTGTATATCCAGTACTTCGTAAAATGTCTTCTAAAAACATCTCCTTAACCTCAAATGGTCTTCCTTGTACTGAAAAAATAAATATTTTATTTACTTGCTTTTTCTCCATTAGTTACTGTAACAAAGATCAATGTGTTTAATGCACAAAATGATTGCATGTTCTAGCATGCAAAAGAAAACAATTTTCACAACATTCCAAAGACTTGTTAAAGAACCAAAAGCTTTTTCTTGAAAAAGCTATAATGAAATAAGCTCCTTATGTCAAAGATACTATGGAGTAATGGAATGGAATGTATGTAAGATTTTTAATAAATTTCAGGGGTACTTTTGCCTGGTTAATGCCTTCAACTTCATGGAACGGTAACTGGATACAATGCATGAGCAGAAAGTTGTTCTTTACAGTTTTATGAAAATGAAAACAAACTATTTTTGTTCTATCCAATTATGCAAATTAGCCCATTGTTAAATACAAACACATGATTGATATATGGTTTACTAGCAAATGGCCTGTCATGAATAACAGGGCAGGAGGAGGGGAGGGCAGGCCGGGAAAGAGCACCGCCACGCAGTACCCAGCGGTGGCTCCGCTCCGCCTCCAGCCACATGTGCCCCACACCCCCCACTCCTGTCTGCCTGCAGAGGGGTGTGTGGCCACCCCTTGGATGTGGCCATGAGGCCGGAGCAGGGCGGGGAGGAGAGGAGCGTGAGGCAGCACTGTGCTGCTAGCACCTCACACCACCACCACCTCCAAGAACCAGGGCTGGGGGAAGGAGGCGGGGGGCAGCAGCGCTGCTGGCTTCACCCCCCCACTCCGATCCCTCAGTCCCGCTCCATCCCGGCCGTCTGCCTCCAAGGAGCAGGGCAATGGGGGGGGAGGTGGAAAGAGGCCAGAGCCAATGGATTTGCCCCCTACTCTGGCATCTCAGTCCCCACCCTTACAGGGGTACTCCACCATGTGCGTCTGTCTGTGCAGAACACTCCGATTGATTGTTTCAGTCAGCATTGTGATTGGCTACAGAGACAACCATAGTTTCATAGTTTCTAGGGTCGGAAGGGACCTGAGCAGATCATCTAGTCCAACCCCCTGCCATGGCAGGAAGAGCACTGGGGTCAAATGACCCCAGTAAGGTGGTCATCCAACCTCCTCTTAAAAACCCCCAGGGTGGGAGCCTGCACCACCTCACTTGGAAGCTGGTTCCAGACTCTAGCCGCCCTGACCATGAAGTAGCGCCTCCTGATGTCCAACTTAAACCTTCCCTCCGCCAGCTTGTGACCATTGTTCCTGGTCACTCCTTGCGGCGCTCGGGGGAACAGGGACTCCCCCAGCGCCTGCTGATCCCCCCTAACCAGTTTATAACAGGCCACAAGATCCCCCCTCAGCCTTCTCTTTTGAAGGCTGAACAGGTTCAGGTCCCGCAACCTTTCCTCATAGGACCTACCCTGCTGTCCCTTGATCATACGAGTGGCCCTCCTCTGGACCCTCTCGATGCTGTCCACATCCCTCTTAAAGTGCGGCGCCCAGAACTGGACGCAGTACTCCAGCTGCGGCCTGACCAGTGCCGCATAGAGGGGGAGGATCACCTCCTTGGACCTGCTCGAGATGCATCTGTGGATGCACGACAAGGTGCAGTTGGCCTTCCTAGCCGCCTCCCCACATTGCCGACTCATGTTCATCTTGGAGTCAATAATGACTCCCAGATCCTTTTCCACCTCCGTGCTGACAAGAGGGGAGTTCCCCAGCCTGTATGTATGGTGCCGATTGTTCCTCCCCAGGTGCATCACCTTACACTTGTCTGTGTTAAACCCCATCCTGTTCTCCTCCGCCCATCCTTGTAACCTATCTAGGTCTAACTGTAGTCTGTTGCTCCCCTCAATTGTGCCCACATCCCCCCACATCTTAGTGTCATCAGCAAACTTGAACAGGGTGCTTTGCACCCCCTCGTCCAAATCACTGATGAAGATATTGAACAGTGCAGGCCCAAGGACCGAGCCCTGTGGGACCCCACTTCCCACGTCCTTCCAGGCCGAGAAGGACCCATCCACTACCACCCTCTGGGTGCGACTCTCTAACCAGCTGGCGACCCATCGGACTGTATGGGTGTCTACGCCACAGTCCCCCAGCTTCCTAATGAGAATGGGGTGAGAGACAGTATCAAAAGCCTTCCTGATCAGAGTGCGAATGAAATGTTAGGGACAGACAGCCAGACACAGTGAGTATTATATTATATTAGAATGGTGGGTCTTCGAAAAAATAGTAAAAAAAGAGAAACACAACTAATTAGCCTGGACTAGCATGTGATCTTACCAGATGGCCAGTTCTGAAATATCTTAAATCAAGTCTGTCCAATTCAAAGGCTTAATTTGGTAACACTCCCTCTACTGCTTCAGTAGCTACTGCTAGGGTCTCTGGGCTCCCCATCCTCCTTTGGCACCTGGAGGCAGGGTAGCCCACAGCTCAGGGTGCCACTCCGCATTGAGAAGGGCCCCTACATGGTGTGGTAAAGAATACCAGGGGACCCATGTGGTTACCCCCCACTCTGAAGTTCGACATCCCTATGTTAAATGAAAGTGATGATATATATGAAGCATCATCCTTCTGTCCTAGCTGAAAAGTCCTGGGACCAGAGGCAGATCTATGGGATCATTTATTGAGATAAGCAGGGCTTGACACCAGAAATGACCTGACCATGCAAGAACCAGGAGGATCATCAGGACTGATCCTGGTCTCACCTTGCCGAGTACTCACATAATAATACGCGTAGGCAGGAAAGGGCATATGGGAGGATCCTGGACCATATGCTTGCTTGCCCAGGCAGCAAATGATCTATATATGAACCATTTCCCTGGAACGTGAAACTCATTACTGAACAAGGTGAGGAAAAACAGGGCCACAGCATGATCTGTGGATACTGGGAAAGCTAAAGCAAAAAGTATCAAAAGCTCCTGTGCTGAAAGCACTTGTGTACTCATAGTGAGGACAAGTATTGACAATGACTGAAAAGAAAATGTAGAAATATTCCTGGTAATATGAGTTCACTTCTCCAAAACAGTGGCAAAAAGCATTTTAAGGACAGCATGTAAGCAGAGTTTTAACTTGGATTAATTTAACTCAGTAGTTTTTAAAGGGGGGAGGAGAGGTTTGGGCAGGGGGCTCTTATTCAAAATTATTTGTTAGTTTCATAAGAGAGATATCAATTAAGGATAAGTTAAAAAGCCTTAAATCTGAATCACTTATTAGTTATATATATGAATCTCTACTTACTGTGAATTACCGGACAACTTCCAAAATATCTGATAAACAGATTCACATCTAGGGCAGCACTAGATAGAATCAGTTTCAAATTTGCTTGTTTTTGCAATATGTCTCTGAGTTTTATTAACAAGAAATCACTAAATCTATCCCTCTCATGTAATTCATCCTATAACAAGCAGAAAAAGAAAACATGTAAAAATCATTACTCCGCAATCACAGCCATTAAGAAAACTTACCCTGTCATAGCACAATTTGGAACAGTGAAGCATAAGACAGAAATAGCTTGATTTTTGGATTCTGAGTGAATTTTCAGACTATTACAAAAAAAAAAACACACACAAAAACTAAAAACTAAACAAAAATGTTACAACATTAAAAAATAAAATAAAGTAATTGATACTTGAGCCAATCCAGAAGTCATTGAGGCAATCCAGAAACCGCCCCCCAAATGTCATTTTAAATAAAGGCCATTTTCAAGGTTAAATGGCATGGACCCTAACTGCAAAAACAAATCACACCATGGTACTTTTCACACAGGATATTGGGACCCCTTTAGCATTCAGGTAAAGGTGCGAAAGGAGAGACTGTCTTGCAACTGCGGAACTGGTCAACTGACAGGGCTCCTAGCTGCAGGGGGACCTACTACACATGCAACTTAAAGCTGGATAGCCACCAGTTATAAACTTAATACACATTTGTGTCTAACTTTATAGCGAGTTGGACCTTTTTTTGGCATAAGTACTTTACCCATGTAAAGCTGGTCTCAGTTAACTACATAATACCTGCAATAGGTAGAGGGGATCTTAGCTGTAGGCAGCTGGCTAGAGATTTTTCTTACGATTTTTTTTTTTTTTTAAATAAAAGTCAAGTAACTCAAGCATCAAGCTGTACAGATAGCTACCTTTTATACGAACAAAGGGTTGCACAGTGATTACCTTGTCCTCCTCTTGTTTGTTATAGCAATTTACATATGTTGGTTTAGATGGTAAACTCTTTAGAACAGGGACCTATCTGTACTTCTTTACTATGCTCAGCATTCTGAGACCCTAGTTGCCACCCTGGACCATTAGTTTTGCTGCTGCTTCTACTAAAACCCACTCCAGATAAGGGAGGCAAATAAATCAAAACCTTGGATTTAAGACTTGACACAGTTCTCCTACTTTTTCTATTCGTGTAAGCAAATAATCTACTAAAACTGCCATGACTCAAGTAATATTCTCTGAAGTAACTAAAATACTAATCTTCCAACGTTCTAAACATTTTGAGCCTGACACAGGCACTCCAATACACACTGCACTGCAAATATATGATTCTTCACACACAGACTCAAATGCTTAAGGACTGCATGTGATTATGAAACTTGCAAGATCAAGACTCTCAGTACTTTGCCTAAGTAAATGACAGTCTTAACAAAAAAAATGAAACTCGCCCTCCAACATTTCCATGAGATGTTTTAAGACCCAATCTAGTTGGTTCTAAAGATGTTACAAATAATTTAAGGTTGTAATCTTAGCAATTTTAATAGACTAAAAAAATTATTCCTTACCTTGACAGGCAGCCCTTTTAATACAGTAAACCACACACACACACACACACACACACACACACCCCCACACACACACACACACACACCCCCACACACACACACACACACACCCCCACACACACACACACACACACCCCCACACACACACACACACACACCCCCACACACACACACACACACACCCCCACACACACACACACACACACCCCCACACACACACACACACACACCCCCACACACACACACACACACACCCCCACACACACACACACACACACCCCCACACACACACACACACACACCCCCACACACACACACACACACACCCCCACACACACACACACACACACCCCCACACACACACACACACACACCCCCACACACACACACACACACACACAATGGCACAGGCCACCCAAAGGAGCAAATACCATAATTTTCATTTATACTCTCCTAAACAAATATGAATATAAACAACATAATAAATAGCAAGCTGACAAGAGAAAAAACAAGTCCCGATTTTATAGTTACCAAAGATACAGAACAGCTGTTCTTCATGTGAAATATGCAAGGGTTCTTACCACAATAACATGTGTCACTGTTGACAGTGTGCTATCTCCTGCCATTAGTGTGCGAAGTAAAACACCATTAGTGCAAAATGTTAATAGTGTCTTCGGAGAAACCCTGTTAGGAAGTTACAAAATAGATGTTTCAATCCCTTACAATTTTATAATTATACAGTATTTAAAATATGCATGCCATTTTTGTTTGGCTTATTAAAAATAATGTTCCACAAAATATTTTAATTGCTGATCAAGAGAAATAAAATTATATCATAGTTCCTTTATAGGCATATACTTAATAGAACCACTGGCAGCTATACTAATTTAAAACTGATTCCCAGAGGATGTGACCTGACAAAACTTTTCCTTCTCTAGAATCACATGGGTGTACTCTTTAAAGCAATGTCAGAGTCAGGGTCTATACCAGAATTTGAAAATATAAAAGTACACCAGTCTGTGGTTGTTTACTTTTCTGAAAAATCTATAGTGTAACTTGGTTTGTAAAAACAGGCTCAGTAATTTTCCAGCAAGCTTAGCCAAAGTATCTGCAACTGACAGTGCTTGAAATGGACTGGTCACAGGAAACTGCCAGAGCAGCCAGTCTCCCCGCACTCCCCCCTCAGCTTCCATCTTGTTTTCCAAGAATTTCAACTTTAATTTCAGAGCCCACACAACATCAGTATTCAACATCTGTACTAGTGCTCCAAGTAGGCAGAGCTAAGTTTGCCTACACTTCCTTTCACCATCAATTTGAGCTTTGACCTGTACAGCTTCACAGGCAGGTAAGCTTAATAACAAATATAAAGGTTAACCAAGTTTGGAAGCCACATAGTTACTCAGAGAGTTCTCAAGGTCAAAATCCCCTAAAGAAGCCAGTCCAGAAATAGTTTAGCTCCTTCCCCCTACTTACCTCGTTATTCAGACGCCCATAAAGGACCCTTCTTAAATTGACCCTTAACTATGTAATATTCAATAAGATTCAAATGAACTCCTCATCGCTAAGGAATGCTTCCTGCTGTCAGACACTGCTGGAAATTGCATTAGTCTTCCAATCTGTCTTCCATTCTTCCTTCATATTCAAAGTCTCTAAAATCCTAACTGCTTTTCTTATGCAGTATCTTCAAAGAGTAGTCTGCTACTTTTCTCAACAAGGACTTACTACTCTCTCTCAAGTACTGCAACCCCTCCCATCTGACCCTTCTCACATTCATCTTGCCCTAATTCAGACCAACACAACACTACTGCATTTCAATCATTCATCTTTTCTGTCACTAAGATTTTCAGCACCTTTAAAATCCCTTTATTTGGCTTTGTAAGTCACTGTACTTACCTTCAAAACCTTACTTAAGTTGCCTCCCTTGTCCATTTACTCTTCTCTTCTTTCCCCCCCTCATCTTCACTTCAAGCTACATAAGTAGTTCGCACCGTGAGTTTTTTCTTCCCACTTACCTGCATGCCACCTTCCACATGGATCCAGAAACCTATTCCCAGCTCTTCACTGGCAATTCTACCCAGTTTCACTTAAAAAACATGCCTATCAGAAGATGTACAAACCTCCTGTACATTAGCTAGCAATAAATCAAATGTCAAGTTGAAAAGGAAATGAAATAAAACTAAAACACAAAAAAATCAAGGCAGACACTCAAACCCATCATTTGTTTACGCTTTCGTTTCTTCCTTTTTACTACAAATCCCACAAAACTTTTACCTGTACACAAAGAATACCAAAAAACATTGCTAATTTCACTGAAAACACTGGATTTTGTGACAGAACAAAACAAAGTGGATCTGTAAGTTACGTTATGTCCAAATGAAGCTAAAGATACCGCAGCTTATTATTAGAAAATGAATTTATTAAGTGGAAGCTTAGTCCATACAAACAAAAGGCTGTTTTCTATATCGCCAAGGGTCTGATCACATGGAACATCACACCTTCATATAACCACAGCCAACCATTATTGCATCTCTGATCATGTATTATGTTGCATCACAGATGTGTATGCATCTTTTAAACAACAGAAAGAAAGTCTCTGCTCTGAGGAACTTCCCTTTTTTCTTAAGTTACATACAGTTGCACAACTTGATCATTTTTGGTTATGTTATTAAAGAAGCATCGTTCATACCTGCTTTCTAATCGGATCTGATAACCAATTGTCTGGCCAATCTTTTCTCTTCTTTCTGCAGCAACCCTTTCAGCCACAGCAATTGCTGCCAAACGTCTTGGCTGAGTGCAAAATATGCGACACGGAATTCCATTTTTATAACAATCATCAAGAAGGAACTGAGGAATCTATAAGAAAGTGCATATTGTTTTAGACTCAAAAATTTACATTTTTACTATAATAAACAAAATGTATGATAAGAGTACCAAAAAAGTCAGCTTTCATTCATCCACAAACACAACATATGTCAAGTGCTGGCCACCCACCTGGAGCTAGGGATGCTGCTGCTACCACCACCACCACCACCTAGCCAGGGCCAGAGCCACTGTGTGCTCCATGCCCCAGGCCAGAGCCAGAACTGCCACACAAGGTCAGTGGCAGTAGTGAGGGGAAGCAGGGAGGGGCGGCAAGTGGTGGCAGAAAGGCAAGTGGCAGGCAGGGACAGGTGGCTTCAAGGCAGGCAGGGGTCAGGCTGCCTGCACTCCCTGCCCTGCTTTCCCCACTGCAGCAGTAGAGAAGGTTTTGAGGTAGGGGAGTAAAATAAATGTAAGGCAACCCTCTGACAGTTAAATTCTATACATGGAAATTTTTTAACACGTTTGTAACTTTCTATGAATAGAATCTAATTATTATGGGGCAGAGTCCATCTTAAATTCAAAGTCATCTTGGATTCAGGTAAATACAGTAAATATTTTAAAGAATAACATAATTTTTAAATAAATAATTAAGTTATTTTGGTTTAATTGCAATAAAACCCACCTGAGTCGTTTTTCCTGATCCAGTTTCTCCCACAATCAAAATAACTTTATTTTCTTTAATAATTCTGACAATTTCTTCCTGTTTCTCAAAAACTGGTAGAGATTGCCTGAAGGAATCAAATTCAGATTCTCCCCTTTTCACTGGAATCTGAGGGATGCCGTTGTTAAGTCTCCCACTTGTCTTGCTCATTTCTCGATTCTCTAAGAGAAGACAGAATTAATAACCAAGTACCACCAATCTGTCAATACCACGTACATTCTCCAAAACGCTCCAAATTAAATTTTCTGCTATGCAAAACTGATCAATCTTAATTTTAGAAACCTCTCTACAATGAAGTATGCAGTTCTTTCATTTTGTTTAACGTAGGGTACAGTGGAACCAGAATCATTTGTTTCCCAGTGGTTTTGAAACCTGCTTAGTGTGCAGTAGGTTGCTGAAATGAGACTAAGTCACTGAGCTGTTTGCTGTGGCATTTACTTCAGAGAGCATACTGAAGTAATTTGGAGTTCATCTCCAGTCCCATGCATCACATAGGCACAGGACCCTTTGACATAAAAGCTGCAGCAAACAGTTGGAGATCCTCAGTAGTCCAATGCAGCTGCTTAGCTTAGGTTTGTAGATCCCCAGTTACTTCACAATCCATCATCTTCACAGGAAGGCTGGGAACCTAATCTTGCAAAGATTCTACTGGATCTACATAGAAACTGAACATTTTCCAGAATCCTAATTGAAGTATTTTTGTTGTTTAATAGGCATTTTGAAATAAGAAGACTGACTTTCCCAAAATCTTACTCACAAAGTCAAGAGAGGCTAAAAGTAATGTAAAGACAAGAGATTCAGCCCCACAGGGAAAAATATTATTTTTAACTATAAGGCAGCTAAAGAGAGATGGCAAGCAAGAGGAAGAAGCTGGCCTGGCTGTTGCAGCATTCTAGCCTAAGCCCCTCTTGCAGACTCACATTTTCATAATCTGCAGAGAAGCCAGTCATCTCATTATAATATATGCCTACTTTTAAGATTTTACCCCAAAACACATGAGTTTGTGACATCAAATTATACACACCTGTTTTAAAGGATTGTTATTAATACCAGGATACCTTGGCTCAGAATTCTATGTTAAATTTCAGACTTAACCTATTACATACTATCTTCAGAAAGATTGAAGGTAATCATAACAACTCTTTGATCCCAAATGAAAGCGAGCATACCCATTGATATGTTTGTTATTCAACAAGCTAAATATTATATAGCACCAAAAAGCCTTTACAGTACTGATACCTTCATAATTCTGCTAAATAATTAGTATCCTGGTACAATAAGGAAATTCATTAAATGTGTCTTTTTAGCTGCTACTTTCATTTGATGAAGATTTAAGAAATCTAGATGTAAACTCTTAAAGCCAGGGATCATTCCCACCAGTAGAATGATAAAACACAATATGAAAATAAACTTATTTTATAGGGGGAAAAAAATCAACACTAAAATCATGCAATGAGAAAATGAAAAGCCTTTTTAATCATTTTTTCTTTAAATTGCATGGATACACAACCCAATATCAGTATACAATGTACATACCAGCTTCGACAGCAAACACATTTCCTCGTTCTGTTTTTGGCAAAAGTTCAGTGCGTTCTTTATTAGTGACGGGAAATCTCTGAATTAGACTCCTAATAGCATGTTTTGTATTGGGAATCAAACTGTAAGTCATTACTGTACGTGCCAATTCTGAACCATCTTTTTTCCTTACAGTTAGGTATCTGTTTGCTCCTTTCCTGAAAAAAAGTAAATAAGTTACATTTTGCATAAAGAGTAATTCCTTTCGAAATTGTATTACCATGATTTATAAATAAAAAGGTAACTCCAGCAACTTCAGAATAAGACCTCAAATACCACAATAAAAAAGGATAAGAGAAGCACATCAACTTAAAAATAATCACTGATTAATGCATGAGGCACAACAGAGAAATCCACGCAGAGAGGAAAACGTTTTTATAATTCTAATTTACAGGTGCGCTACAAATCAGTGCAATAAATAAAGTTGGTGCGCTACCAAAATATCCCTCCAGCTATGACCACATCTCTCAATTTATCTGTTTCTCTAAGAAAAAACAACTCTGATTCTTAAATGTATCAACATTCCAAAGTTTCCTTTTTTTCTCCACCGTACACACTAGATTTCTGCTACAATATCCCCATAAACCTAGGGGTCTGAGTTGGTTTAAGAGTCTTCTATGTTTTCGTGATTTAGCAGTCATAAGAAAAATATAAATAAAACATATTGAGTCCATATGCAAGTGACTTCAAATCTTCAGCATATTCAGTCAGATAGCATATATTTGCACTCTGGAATTGGAAATAAAAAGTTTACAATGCACCGTTAAAGCATCCACAGTCAAAAGTTACTTCAACACTAAATATTATTTTTTCTTTTGTTTTAAAACTTATCTCAGGAGCCCAATAGTTCTCCTGGAGTGTTTATTTTAGTATGTTACAGCTCTAGTTGCTTTGCTTCTAGGCAGCACAATCCATTAACCAACTTAGAGGAGCACATATTTGCTAGAATTGTAGATGATTACAGCCACTTCATTCTCTGTATTCTTCAACTCAGCACTGAAGTAAAACTCAGAGTCATTTGTTTCTGAAGAGTTTAGCACAGTGGTCCTCAACCTTTTTAGACTCAAAGCACTCTTCACAAAGGCCAGACCTTAGCTTTTACTCATTTCTTAACTATGGAAAAAACAACAGAGCAATTCTTCTGTTGCGAAGAACTTAGAAAGACCACAACAGGTCAAAATATTTTGGACACTATGGATCCCTATTTGAAATGCCTGGGTCACTTGTGAATCATGTGTTAGAAACGCGTACATCTAACGACAGAAACATTGCACAGCACCCCAGAGCATCCTTAAAAGCCTGAGAATCACTGGTTTAGCACAAGGTTCTTTTTTATTTTAATCGAGGCCAACAATGAAAGCAGAATGAGGATACAAAACATTCCTGGCATGATACCCTAATATCAAGTGCTGATGGGTCACAGTAGCAACCCAATAATACTACTGTCATCAGTAGTGATATTACAACTTGTTTTGAAATACTGATTTTACTGTTCAGCAAAAGTAGTTTGGAGTGATGAGAACAAACTATGATCAGAGTTTTGAACAAGGATGGCCCCCGTCTAGAAGCTGCGTTAGAAAAAAGAGACTAAGTTCAGGGGAAACATTTCTGAAACTGTTTCCTATTTCGTAAGTCAATAACATCTAGGGATTTGTGTGCCTTGCAGATAGCAGTTTTTGTCTTTTTTCCCCTGCTCTATTGCCTTAGTATTTTTAAACCTTGAAGACTTGGCAATAGTGAGATGCTTATTAGAAGTATAAGCTGGTCATCATTTTATCTGAACATAAAAGGGGCCCTCCGTCCATGGAACTCTTCTTCTCTTCTTAGGGTATCAGAGAGGGGAGGGAGAATGGGGTAAAACCATCTCTTAGATATCACTGCACCTACAACAAACTCTTTTCTGAAGGCCCTGCTCTCCAAATTTCTAGATATGGGAACAGATGTTTTCCATGATGCTGTCCCATACCAAGGTCCTGGATCCCATACAGAAGTGTGGGCAGAAGATGCTACTATTAGACCGGAATAAGCACCACAACTACAAGGAAAGAGGAACCTTCCTTTATGTACATATGTAAACCACAAGCTAGTAAGAGAACACATCTTCCAAAACCACACAGATCTCCAATTCCTTCAACAATTAAAGAATGCAAACATTAAAAAAAGAGGAGGAATAATGCTAGGAGAGCACCATGAGGAACCTGTTTCCTTTTCTTATCAATGCCTCTACCCTCAGGGATTTTCCCATGGAAAAGAACACTGTTATCCCTGGCTATGCTATAAAATGCACCAAAATGATACAATATCATCTAACTGATAGGCAGACGTTCACATCTAATAACTAAGAGAACTAATCAAGTAACGGCTTACCCTTTGCTTTTGGAGATGAGGCCAAGGGACTGACTCAGTCGGTGAATAAAAGCTCGTTCCGTACTAGTCAAAGAAGAGGGAAATTCCATTTCTAAGAAGAAAAAAAAAGTCGAGATAACAACACAGCTGAGCCACCTTCTTCCTTCTAACTTCAGTAACCAAAATAATACTTTTCTACATTTTATATTTAATAGCACTAGCAAGTCAAGGGAACAATGAAAAAGGAATGTCCTGTTTCAACAGACTTGTTTTCCCCATAAAACGCAATTTTAGTGTAAGGCCAAATTATGTTATTAGTTTTACAGACGCAACTAATTAAGGCAATCTGTTATCATATTTTTACAGCTTATTGGCTTTGTAAAGCCGTAACTGAGGGACCAGTTTGGCCTGCACCATGTTTGTCACAAGTGCTGGGGCCATATCCACTTCTCATGGAGGCCCAACAAAACACAGCCTGCCTTGCAAACCCCCTCAGTTTCTCTGCTTCGCAGGGCAGAACCAGTCAGGACTTGGGGGGGTGGGGGGGAGGCTTGAATACAGGTGGGGGCCTTGAATACAGCGCCCACGTGTGGGAAGCAGCCCCCATGGGTCAGATCCAACCTGCCAACTTGCTCAACCCCCACTAACACACTACAGGGATACATGCTGCTGCCTCACTGGCCCACCCTTCTAGGTGGTGGCTCCAGTCTGCAAGTACACACAGACATCACCTTATGTATTAATGTATATGTAAGTGAATAATTATGGTAACAAATATAATAATGGGCATATGTGATGATACACCACACATAGTAATGAGTGACATTGGAGCAGGCTTGAAGGACGTGATGAGCACAGCCCCACAGGCCCCTGTCAACGAAGCGAAGAGAGGTCCCGTCCCCGTCCCACCCCTGCGGGCCTCGCCCCAGTGCGCAAGCGCTGCAGAGCCCCGGGGCGCCCCGAGGGGGGGGAGCAGTGCCTGAGGGGGAGGGGGAGGGGCCGAGTCCCAGGCCAGCACCTCGCTGGTCGCCGTATCGGAACCGCTCCAGGGCCAAGTTCACGGCGATCTTCACCTCCTCGTCCACGCGGATGTCCCGCAGCCCTTTGGCCCGGCCGCGGCCGCCACGGCCGCCCGGCGCAGGCTGCGGGGACTCGCTACTGGGCCGCGACATCCTACCCCGGGGCTGCGACCGGGCCGGAAAGTGAAAGCGGCCGGGAGCGGAGGCAGAGGCGGGGCCACGCGGCGGCGCTCTGACGCCAGCGCGTCCTCCGGGCAGTCGGCGGGGACGGCGCAGTTGCCAGGCAGCGGGCGGGGCGGAGGAGGAGCGGCTGCCGCAGGGGGCGCTGGGATGCGAGGGGGTGGGGGTTGGAGGTGCGAGGCGTTGAGCTTGTGGCCCAGAGCCACGTGACGTGCGGGGCCCTGGGGGGACCGCTGACCTTGTAAGGCACTTGTAAGGCCGAGGCAGCAGCAGGCCTTGCCTCAGCTATGTGCTAGGGTGTCCTCAGACCTGACACAGCCCCAAGACCCTCACCTGCCCCATGTAAAGTGGGGGCACCCGGGCAGCCAATGTCCTGCTTCTGTGGCACGTTGTCAATATGCGCTCAAGAGAGCCTAGGCAGAGGGCTGCAGCCTGCTAGAGAAAGGTAAAGTCCCCACAGTTGTACTAGTCTGGCTGCAGGGTCAGATTCCTTCCTGCCCCAAGTTATGGCAGTTGGTCAGACCCTGGGCAGCGGGGCAAGACCCTCGAGACACAAACCTCAGACTTGCGTCCAAGCAGGAGTACTGGCACAGCCCAGTCAAATTCCTGGTCCTGGCTGCAGCCAAAACCCCCGTTGCCTCTGAGGAAGGCTTAAAAACCACCCTGACAGTGTGAGGAATGCCTGTAGTAGCACACTGGTTCAAAACGAAAAGCTGGCCTTTTCCAACTTGTTCCTTGGGCCGAAAAGGTTTGAGAACTGGTGCTCTACAGGAAAAACACTACAAGTAATACTTGGAAAATATAACAGCATTTTGCATGGGTATGGGTTGTAGCTGTGTTGGCATAAGACATAGGCAGACAAGGTTTTTTGGGTAAATCTGATATCTTTTATTAGACCAACTCAGATAGTTGGAAAACATTTTCTTTGCAAGCTTTTGGGTATAAATGCCCTTTGTCAGGCATACTGCATCAAACTGGAAGGCAATCTCTATTTATTTTACAAGAAAATGTTTCTGTTGCATACATTTGATGTACATAGACTTTCAAAGGTATGGGAGCAGCTACTCCCCATGATTAGTGTCCTCTTGCCATGGTCTCAGATTCTGTACAGGAGTGTGGGCAGGTCAAAATTAGATTAGAATAGTTCCTGCAACTACATGCGTACGTATGAAAACTACAAGCAAATGAGAGAATGCAGTTCCCAAAACCACAGTAACAGCACTATGAAACAAAGGCATTGAACATAACAACACCAGAGTTAGGGAGAGAGGGGCTTCACAGTTCAGAGACCTCACATGGATGAGAGGAATGATCATGAAACCGTACAAGACCATGACAACCCCAAGAACGCTCAAGAATGGGGAGGAAACTGAAGTATGGAAATATGTACTGGTATTTTATTGTTATATGCAGCTAAGAGGACCCATTTCTGAGAGAGGCTATGCCTAGGAAGCGTGTTTAAAGGTTCAAGGAAAGAGACGGTGCTGGAATATACTCAGAACTAGAGAATTTAAAGAACACAACAGTACGCTCCTGTATGGGATCCAGACACAAATACCTAGCAAATACCTGGCTGAAATATGGGTACCGGGGCTGTTACAGAATGGCACAGCTGGGTTCTGGGAAATGATCATAAAATGGCAGGGGCATTCCAAGTTTGCTGTGTCTCAAAGGTTCTATGTAATATTTTCTCAGTTTCCTGTACTGTAATACTATTTTCCAAATAGCTTACCATACAAACTCTACCTAAATCAGGGGAAGACAGTTATTTTGGGTGCAAGACCACTCACCAAGTTTTGGCAATTGTTGAGGGCCGCAAGGGTAGCCCTGACCCTTCACAGGTGCTCTGCCCCCGGTCACTATCTTGGGGCCAGAAATCCTGCCCTCTAACCCCTGACCTTTGCCATGTGAAGTCCCTCACCTTGCCCTCCAAGAAGTACTCCTTTCAGCAAGGGGGTTTGCCATCTCAGAACCATAAACATTCCAAATTACATTCTAAAAATCAAATATCTACTACAACATTCATTAATTTCATTTCAAAAAAATATTTTGCTCTGATTTACATGTGTCTGTGTAGCATACATAGAGGTGATTGTATAATAGCTTAAAATGAAGTCTTACTTTTGTATATTGGGGTGTGGGGAGGTATAGGTTTGTGGGTACAGGTTTGTCGTGGGCTGTGGGTATGTAGGTATGTGAGGTGTGGGGAAAGGTGTGGGTGTGTGGGGGGGTTTGTGAGGGGGTGGATAGGTGTATAGGAGTGTGAGTGTGTGTGTAGGTGGGGTAGGAGAGCATATGGGAGTGTGTGTGGATGTGTATGGTGTGGGTGGGTATGGGGTTTGTGGGGGATGTGTGTAGGGGAGGGTGGCTGGGTAGGGTTGTAGCATGTGTGGAGGGGGAGGGTTTGGCCAGAGCCCTCCCACAGCAAGTGGAGCCCCATCCAGTGCTTCTCCAAGCCCGGGCTCTGCGCTCCTGCCACTCCTGACCTCAGGGCACCGGTGTGGGCCCTGTGTTTCCACTCACTGCCACTTCCCCCCTATCTGCCACCGCTGTCTGGGGGTGGCTGGGCAGTGGCAGCAAGCAGGCACGTGGAAGCACATTGACAGCTGGGCGGAAGCATGTGGCCTGTGCTGGTGCAGAGTGGGGTGCAGGTGGGCAGCTGGCCTGGCTCCCACATCTTCCTGCTGGTGCAGCCCAGCCCAGCTCCATATAGCTCCTGCCGGCCTGGGCCCTGCGCTCCTGCTACTGTGCTCTGGGTCGCCACTGGTGCTGGCCCCAGCACACCAGCATGGGCCCTGCACTCCCACCCAGCTGTTGCTGCGTGCCCATGTGCCCGCTCACTGCCACTCCCCGGCCCCTATCATTTTCCTACTTTTCTGCCCACTGCCATCGTTCCACTCTACCCTCCTGCCACTCTGGCACCATGTGGTTCCTGGCTGCAGCACTGGGACCGCAAGAGCCGGCCCGGCCTGACCCTGAGGACTGGGATGATCGCCCACAGTCCTCCCTGCCGCCCCCTCTCCCTTCTTATCTGAATTTCCCTCTCTGGTGGAGGGAGGCAGGAATAGACCCAGGGTCCCAAGCCAAAAGCGTCTACTACCTCTTCAGCCTAGGGCCAACCACATCCCTCCAGCCTCTACAATAACTGACCAAAGCATCAATGTTTAGAATGTCTCTTGATCTAATCTGTTAAAAGAAACAAACAAAAAATCAGAGCCTTTCCCCCTTCCCCTCTCTCTGTCCCCCTGCAGGAAAATTGGGTTTATGCCTCTTTTTGATTGTACATGATCACTCTCCGGTGGGCCTTGCTGAGGTTGCTGGGTCCTGCCGCCAGCTTCCCTCCCCCTGGGTCCTACTGCCACTGGTACATTGTCATCTTTGACAGGCAGCCAGGGGCAGATAAATATTAATTTTCTAAATGTTTTAGGGGCCCTGCAGGCTGGATAGAATGGCCTGGAGGGCCAAATCTGGCCTACAGGCTGTATTTTGCCCACCCTTGACCTATGTTTTGAAAACTGACCTAGATTCTTTCCTTCCTATACATCTTCAATAGTGGTATTATTTAGCTGTTTATACTTATTTACTCAGAGACATTTTAATGGAATTCTATGCTGTAGTATTTGAACAACCGGCATTTATTAAGAAAGCTTGATGAATTAAGCTTTAAAACACTTGTAAATGTAGTATTTCCAAATGCTATAAACGTAGAACCTTAAATGATTTTCAGTCACGCAAAAATCTATATTTCTGTTATCCAGTCCTGTGTCTTAACAATATCTTGTTTCCTTCCCATATAAATGTAACAAAGACGGTGCAGACCAAACTTTTCCCTCAGTTACGGCTTTGCAAGCCAATGACCTATAAAGATGTGATAACTGATTGCCTTAATTAGCTGTATCTGTAAAACTAAAACATAGTTTGGTCTTGCACTAAAATTGCATTTCATGGGGAAAAGAAATCTGTTGAAACAGGACCTTCCTTTTCCACTGTTCTCTTGATTTGCCAGTGCTATTAAATGTAAAATGTAGAAAAGTATTATTTTGGTTGCTGAAGTTAGAGGCATGACACAGACATTACAGGCATGACACAGAATATACACAGTGAGATGTGTTGAACAGAATCATAGAAAATTAGGTTGGAAAGGACCTCAGAAAGTCATCTAGTCCAAATGCCTGCTCAAAGCAGGACCATCCCCAACCAAATCATCCCAACCAAAGCTTCATCTAGCCAGGTCTTAAAAACTTCCAATGATGAAGAGTCCACAATCTCTCTGGGTAGCCTGTTCCAGTGGTTTACTACCCTCCTAGTGAGAAAGTTCTTCCTAATATTTAACCTAAACTTCCCTTGCTGCAACTTGACCATTGCTCCTTGTTCTGTCATCTTCCACCGTGGAGAATAGTCTAGCTTCATCCTCTTTGAAACCACCCTTCAGGTAGTTGAAGGCTGCTATTAAATTCCCTCTCAGTTTTCTCTTTCCTAGACTAAATAGCCCAGTTCCTTCAGCCTCTCCTCATAAGTCATGTGACCCAGCCTCCTCACCATTTTCGTTGCCCTCCGTTGGACTCTCTCCAATTTGTACACATCCTTTCTGTTGTGGAGGGCCGGAAACTGGACACAGTACTCCAGATGTGGCCCCAAAGGGCGCATCCACACATGCAGGCACGTGCACTTGCAGCAGCTCAAATAGAAGTGGTGCAAATTGCAGGCGGGGCTTCTTGCCTCAGTGCACATGCCCGAAAATGCACTTCAGTGTGGGGCAAATTGTGCCACTTGGGGCAAAATAATCCTGCCTGGCTCCTCCCAGATCTGCAGCCAGGGGGAGCTAGAGCCTGGGGCCAGCAACAGCATAAAAGGCTGCCCTGCCAAGCATTTACTTACTCTCAGGAGCTTCTGAGGCCCAGCCAACTGGTACCTGGGGACACTACCCACCTGGACTGCTGAAGTAGCCCTGAGAGTTCCCTGCACCCTCTACCCACTGCAGTAGTCTGGCACTGGGGGCTGCTGCCTGGCTGTGACCTGCTATTACCTGTGAC